AGTGAAACCTTGAAAGCTCGCAAGATCAGGATGGTCTCACAAACATATTAAGCATTTAAAATCCCCTTAATCTTCAGCATAAACCCTGTTACATTAAATGCCATGGACGGTTTCTCTGGGACAAACAGCTGTTAAACATCATGGAATTGACTGAAGGACAGCAGCTCAAATGACATTTTCATTTTTTTTATTGTATAACGTTTGGCAGCTGATCTCCTTTAACAAGCGTAGAAGTAAGGGAAGCATGCTGATGTGTACAGTAAGAAGGAGAAGTTGGAGCTGGAATGAGGGCAAAGTTTAGCTAACTTAGCAAGAAATCATTTCATTATTTTATCAAACATTTGCCTCTTAACAAATCTGGGTAGATATCTAACCAGTCTATATTTGACCATGTTGAACCTGTTGAGCGTTTCCTTCTTCCTATATCTTCTCTACATCTCGCTTCATGTTTAGCTGACTGAAAGAAAGCTTTTCCTAGATTAAAAAAGCAGATCTGATAAAAAAAAAATACATCTATTTTAAGTCCCTCTACAGACATAATTGAGACAATTCAAAATGGTTCCTCCACAAACCTTTAATTAAGGTTTTTGCTTTTCAGAACTTTTTTATATGCTTATCTAACTCTAAGTGGCTCTTACCTAAATTATGTTTTCCACCCCTAAAACTCTCCAATTTTGTGCTAAAATGCATCCTTTAAAAATTAGAAATGTGTCTAAAACAATCTCTGTTCTGTAAAATAATTCCCTTTGATCAGTCGGTACTTTTATATGTTTTAATACTCTGTTAAATATTTAATCAATAGGAAATGACGGTAATACTTTCATAATAAGTTATTTATATGTTAGAATTTAGCTATTCTTTTTTAATGACCCAAAACTAAAGTGTACAAATTATTTCAGGAATTATTGAAGTCATAGGGACTTCTCCAGTGCTCTTGTATTCAGTATTTTACAGTCCAGTGAACGATTCCTTAATGCCAACTTTGTCAATGAATTAACTGCAAAATGATTTCCTTTGTAAAGCTCAGATTCAGCCTACAGAAATCTTGGATTGCTGTTTGTATTCATTCCTTATATTGCATGTTTCTCTGCCAAGATATACCAATATACTCCAGCAATATACTTATGATGCTTACAAAATTTAAAGGGTAATATATATTGCCTTATAGGGGTACAGGAAAAAAACGTTTTCTAGCGATATATAGTGATTTTTGGCTGCTGATATAATATCGATCTTTTAGTTCCTAGTATTGTTTTTGAAAAAAAAAACATTTTTACCAAAAACAAAGAGGGAAAATGGCTACCTCTGCACCACCACTCTGGCATATATATCGCTGTGGAGCCTTTATGCCATGCAGCGCAGCAACATATCTGCAGATGAGGCAGTAACAGTGGAAGACGTGGACTGACTCAAACCCCAAACAACATGGATACCAAAATAACATAATGATCTTCTGATGAACATATACAGTAGGGCTGGGCGATATAGAAAAAAAGCTTATTGATAAAAAAAAATGCATATTGATCGATATCGATAATTATTGAAAAGATTTGAAACCATATTTTATGTGCAGCTCTGCCTGGACTTTTTATAATATTGCTAAATGATTTAATTTTAATAAAGAACACAAACACAGACTTCCAATTAAATATTTATTTAACAAACTTTTTTAACCATAACAATTGTTTTAAAAAAAAAAAAA